TGGTCTCGATCTCTTGACCTCGTGATCCACCCGCCTCGGCCTCCCAAGGTGCTAGGATTACAGGCTTGAGCCACCGCACCCGGCCTCCCTCCTTTTTTCTTTCCCTCCTTCCTTCCTTCCTTCCCTCCCTCCCTCCTTCCTTCCTTCCTTTTCTTTTCTTTTCTTTTCTTTCTTCTTTCTGACATTCTAGCCCTGTTGCCAAGCTGGAGTGCAATGGCATGATCTCGGCACACTGCAACCTCCAACTCCCTGGTTCAAGTGATTCTCCTGCCTCGGCCTCCTAAGCAGCTGGGATTACAGGCATGCGCCACCATGCCCAGGTCATTATTTTTTATTTTTAGTAGAAACGGGTTTTCACCATGTTGGCCAGGATGGTCTCGATCTCATGATCTGCCTGCCTCAGACTCCCAAAGTGCTGGGATTACAGGTGTAAGCACCACGCCCAGCCTATTTTTTATTTTTATTTTTTGTGACCAAGTCTCACTCTGTCACCCAGGCTGGAGTGCAATGGCAAGATCTCAGCTCTCTGCAACCTCCAGCTCCTGGGTTCAAGCGATTCTCCTGCCTCAGCCTCCTGAGTAGCTGAGATTACAGACATTCACTGCCATGCCTGGCTAATTTTTTGTATTTTTAGTAGAGACGAGGTTTCTCCATGTTGGCCAGGCTGGTCTCGAACTCCTGACCTCAGGTGATCTGCCTGCCTCAGCCTCCCAAAGTGCTGGGATTATAGGTATGAGCCACCGCACCTGGCCAAAATCCTCCTTTAAAGCCCTGTTCAGGTGCCATCTCTCTCCTCCAGTTGACATGACTGTTCACTGAGTTCCACACCTCTGCACCTGGTATGTAGCCCTGATGCTATATGTTCTCTGGCATGCTGGAGATGTCATCTTCCCCCGAGTAGACCGAGTCCTCCAGGAAGACAGGAACCCATCAATGTCATGTCTAGTTTCAGTGCCCACCCTGATGCCTGACCCAAAGGGACCTCAATAAACATAGGTATGGCCAGGCATGGTGGCTCACGCCTTGTAATCCAAGCACTTTGGAGGCCAAGGCCCGGATCACCTGAGGTCAGGAGTTCAAGACCAGCCTGACCAACATGGTGAAACCCCGTCTTTATATTAAATAAATAAATAATAAAAATAAAAATAAGTAGATGGTTGGGCGCAGTGGCTCACGCCTGTAATCCCAGCACTTTGGGAAGCCGAGGTGGGTGGATCACGAGGTCAGGAGTTTGAGACCAGTCTGGCCAAGATGGTGAAACCCTGTCTTTACTAAAAATACGAAAATTAGTCGGGCATTGTCACAGGCACGTATAATCCCAGCTACTTGGGAGGCTGAGGCAGAGAATCACTTGAACCCAGGTGGCGGAGGTTGCAGTGAGCTGAGATTGTGCTGCTGTGTTCCAGCCTAGGTGAAGAAGCGAGATTCTGTCTCAAAAAAAAAAAAAGGTAGGTGAATGAAATTTCCTTCATTATATCATCAACACCTGAAGGAAGCCACATATGCATCTCATCTCATCACCAGCATAGGGCGTGCACATAGTTGGCGTAAAATAAAGATTTGCTGAATGAATGAAGATAATTTGAGAGAAAAGAGGGAGGAGAGAATGGGCTGTGGGATGGAAGGTGAGTGTGAGGGGGAACAGGTCATGGCTGAGGATACTGTGAGATGAGACTAGAGGCTGGAGCTTACCCCCGTCTCCACGGCCCCAGGCAAATAGTTCTCGCTCAGTGGACAAGGCCAGCACGTGAGAGGCCCCACAGGCCACCTGCACCATCTCATAGCCCAGCAAGTCCTCCACAATGGTGGGCTAAAGAGGAGAGGAAGTAAGGAGAGACTGGGCAAAGGGTCTAGGACTAGCCATCTGGTCTCAACACCCCCTGCAGGGACAAAGCTGGAGGCTGCACATTCTCCGGAGGTGGCTGTGTCTTTAACTCTAGCCACACACACTGCCAAGTGGGCAACCACCGGGGCAGCCTGGTCTTTCTGTACTTCCCCTGACGTAGGCGGCATAGAGCAGGTGCAGCCGGGAAGCTAGAGGAACCTGTGGCTGCTGGGAACTCCCCCATCCCCAATCTGGTGTCAGCTCTCAGATGTGGGCTCCCCGCCATCCCCTAACTTCCCCCTCCCCAGGGTACATGTGATACCCACCTGGCTGATGTCAGTGAGGCTGCCGTGGCCTAGGCACCCATTGCTGCCGCTGCCAAAGGTCATGATGATGCCTCGGTCTGGGGAGAAGCGCCGTGAGGAAGAAGGAAGAGAAGTTAAGCAGTCATTCCAGATAGCCCTGTCCACCAGAGGGTTGCGGCAACAAAATAAAGTTGGGGACCAGGGCTGGAAAGATGGGATAGGAAGAGAGAAAGGATAGGCGTCTCTTCAAATGTATGTGACTTTGGACAAGTGACACCCTCTCTGAGCCTTAATGTCCCCACTTGTCAAATGAGGATACTATAACTGCCTTGGCAGGCCTGTCCGTAGGATCAAGGAGGTTGTGTAAGGAAATCTCCTCAATAGTTACTAGAGCCGGGCACGGTGGCTCACGCCTGTAATCCCAGCACTTTGGGAGGCCAAGGCGGGTGGATCACGAGGTCAAGAGATCGAGACCATCCTGGTCAACATG